TTTCCATAGCCGGTTTGTTTGGCTAATTTTATTTTCCTTGCTTTCCCTATAGGGAAACTGAGGCAGGAGGCAGCGCCCCGTGCTCATGGTTGAGCAAGGGATCCCTCTGGAAGCCACCCCCGTGGTTTGTCAGTGGGTGAGGAAGAGGAGGAGGCTTTGCCAGAGCCCCAGTTGGCATCTCTACCCACTGGTGCGGGGTCAGTCGAAGGCTGGCACGGCACCGGCGCTGCTCGCCTCACCTGGGGCTGTCACGGGAGCACGGCGCTGGCTGAGACAGCGCAGTCAGGAGGGATTAACATCAGCTGGGAAGGTGGGGGCCTCCAGGGAAGGCTCCCGGGTTGGCCTGACTCCGGCGGGGAAGAGCAGGCACCCACTCAACTTGAAAAACTGCCCGGGCCGGGATGGTGGGAGCCTCCGGGGAAGGCTCCCGGGTTGGCCTGACTCCGGCGGGGAAGAGCAGGCACCCACTCAACTTGAAAAACTGCCCGGGAGAGACGGGCCCTTTCCCTTCTCCTCAGCGGGGGACGGGGCCGGGCAGCGTCCCGGGGCTGGATGCGGCCCCAGGGAGACGGCGGCAAAGTCGGGGTGCTGGGGAAGCTTGGGGAGGTGCATCGCTCCCACCCCTCCTGGAACCCCTCGCCGGTTCTTTTTACTGCTTCCCAGCAGCTTTTGAGAGCGGTTGAGACAAAAAAAAAAAAAAAAAGAAAAAGAAAAAGAAAAAAGAAAAGGATTGAAAAGCACATTGAAAAGCAGGGCAGGGAGAAGAAGCGCCCGAGTTTCCCGGCAGCCCCGTCCCCTCCTCCTGCTGCCAGCTCCTGCCAGCTTTGTCTGCCAATGCTGCCGAGCCAGGCAGGAGATGCTGCCGAGCCAGGCGGGAGCTTTCCCCCAGCCCCAGCGCTGCAGCAGGGTGTGGGCATCACCATCCCAGCACCCCAGGGTGCCAGGAACGGGGCACTGCCCCCACAGCCCCCCTCCAAATCCCTCCAGGAACCTCCCCAGCAGCCCCACTGACCCCCACCCACACCAGCTTGCACCTGCAGATATGGGGTTTCACCCCTTCCCCGTGCCATTCACCCACGGGTGAGTGGTTATCCGGTTAACTGGCTCACCCCCGGCACCCACAGGGGAGCCCCGGGAGAAGCCGGGTGCAGGTCGGAGCCTGCTCTCGGTGCAGCCTCCTGCTTTTCCCACCCAGGCTCTCCCCTGGCCGGCAGTGCCAGGGAACAGGCTGGCACAACCCGCTGCCCACCCAGGAACCCATCACCCGACCACCGTGCAGCCACCCTGGTTTCCCCCAAGAGCACCCCACCTGGAGCGTGGATTCTGTGGAGACCCACCGGCAGCACCCATGGAAACCCCCTGCCCTGGCACAGCTTGGGGACCCCTTCTCCTGGGGGTGCCAGGGTGTGTGCCAGGCACCCACGCCATGGGGACAAGGTGCACAGACCTGTGTCTGTCCTCTCCGCCGCTCTCCTCTTCCTCGCTGCCCCGGCAGGGCTCTGCCACCGTCCCCACCACCGGCAGCTCTGCCCGTGCCACGGAGCTTCACAGCCTGGCACGGCACGGGAGGCAGCAGGGCCTGGGGCACGTGGGGCTCTGAGGATGCGCCACGTCCCGTTTTGCCCTTGGCATGGCGAGAGGGGCTGTCCCTGTCCCCGTGGGCCCAAGGCAAGGGGAAGGTGGGGACACTTTACCCCAGGAGCTGGCGGGGAATCAGGGAAATGAAGAGGAAAGGGAGAGCCGGGGGGGCAGGTGGCTTCTCCCCGCCACCCCACACCCAGCGTTTCTTTTTGTTGATTCCTCCCCCATAACCTCACCCTGGAGAATGAACTCTCACCCCCCGACTCCTCCAGCGCCAGCGCCTCTTCGATGAAATAAATCAATCAAAATAAACCAACGGCTCTCAACAACCAACTTTTACAGGTCACAAACACCCACAAATGTCTCCCCACGGCATCCTGGGGGGCAGCGAGTGCCGCCCCATCCGCACGCCGAGGTCTGGGGGTGCAGCCTCTCCCCTCTGCCCCTCTTCGACGCGCCGGCCCCGATAAGCGAGCGATGCTCTGCCCTTGGGAGAACCGCAGGGCTCCTCCCCCCGAGCGGGATTCGGGAGAAACGTCAAGGCCAATCGGGTCCCCGGGGGCTGATGGCGGCCGACAGCTCGTCCTCCCGCACGGAGCAGCCGGGGGAGACGGCAGCGGGGCTCCAGCCCAGACCTGCCCGCAGGGGATGGAGTGGCAGGAGTGATTTTTTAGGAAAGAGCTGGTTGTGGCAGCAGCGTGGGGGAAGCCGAGGTGGCAGAGAGGTGGCTGTGCTCGGTGGGGAGCATGGTGCCTTTGCCCACAAGCCCAGCCACTCCAGTCGGGGAAACTGAGGCAGCACAGGAGAGCAAGAGGTCCTGCTAGTGCCACTCTCTGCTGTGCCCACACCGGGCTGTGTGCCCTGCATGGCTCCTGGAGCATCATCAAGGAGGTTCCCTCGGTAGGATGTGGGATCCCCCTCTTCCTTGGGTGCTGCACCCATCAGCCATAGGAAACCACTGGCAGAAAGTCATCCTGGCCACAGACACACTGGTGGCTTCACCACCAGCATGGTGCCAGCTCCCAACCTGCCATGGATGTTGCTGCACTCTCCAGCTTCTCCCCATGGTGAGGGATGACCCAGGCCAGGGCTAGTGGGGCCTGGGCTCTCTGCCCCCATTGCCTGGGCACACACACACCCCGTGCAAGCACCTCCTGGGACCCACATCCCACTGTCCCCACTGTGGGGGATGTGCCCAGGAACCATGGTGGTGCTCGCTGGGTTGTTGCTGCTCATGAGGGCTGGCATGTGCCCTGTGTGGGAGCGTCCCTTGCACAAGGAGTGTCCCCCACACAAGGAGCATCCCTGGCATAGGGGGCATCCCTTGCACGGGGAGCATCCCTCACACAAGGAGCATCCCTGACACAAGGAACATCCCTTGCACAAAGAGCCTTCCTCGCACAAGGAGTGTCCCTTGCACAAGGAGCGTCCCTCGCACGAGGATCTCGCCCACGTTGCTCGACTCCCCAGACCTGCTCTGCCCTGTGCCTCCATGAGCTCCGTGTCCCAGCCCCGGTGGGAGGAAGGTCTCTCTTGCACAAGCCAGGACGCCTGGGGCTGGAGCTGAGATGCAAACGAGGGGCAGGATTTATCCAGCCAAAGGCAGACCCCCCCCCCTTTACCCCCCCTGCCAACACCCCCACCCCAGCGGGGTGTCGGGGCTCCCTTTGCCGCCCAGGGAGCACCTGGGCACCCCTGGGTGCTGCGTTCCCTTCGGCGCCAGCTCCCAAGTAGGTGGGGTGAGTCACCTGCCAGAAATGCCCTCTGCTCCCCGCCAGCTCCAGGGCCACCATGACACGCCAAGGTGGGGACAGCACTTCTGCCAGCGGCCACGGCTTGGGGGGGATGCCACCAGAGCCCCCCCATTTCTCCCCAGCCCAGCGGATGAGTGAAGGGGGGGCTGTGGCACTGGGGGGGACACCCCCAGCTTGAACTGGTCCCCAAATGCAGCTCCTGCAGAACACTCTGGCAGCCCCAGACCCTCGCCCACGCCGGGGTGAAGGTCTAGGCATGTGCCCACAAGGGGCTGTGCAGACCCCACAGCCCCCAGTCCTGGGAGCCCCCCAGGGGGAGAACAGCCCCTGGGCAAGGAACCAGGTGCCTGTGCCATCGGCAGGATGAGCCTCCCCCAGCCCTGGCTTCAGCCCCACGCCGTTTGCTGCCGGGGGGTGGGATGGGCAATGGAACCCCAACTTGTCACCCAGCTTCTCCTGCCAGGCCTGAAGGGCAGAGCTGGCAGCAAACCGTCCTGGGAGAAATCCCTGGTGATGCCAAAAGCCCCCAGTGCAGCCGGGTCACCTCCCTCCTCCCGTCCCACCACTGGGACCCCCTTCCTTCCAACCACAGACCCCACTACTCCGGGATGGAGACACACAGGGAAACAGCCCCCACGCTGTTCTGGGCTCTTTCCTGGCACCGCAGCCTCCGGGACCCTCTGCCCGGTTCCTTATGGACACAAGCCCCTCCAGGGCAGCAGGACAGACGGACACATCCCACCAGCCCCTTCGCCGCTGCCGCGGGGTGACAGAGATGCGAGACGGGCTGATCCTCAGGCTCTTTATTGGCATCTCCCCGGTGCCGCGGCCCCGCCGGGCTGGTGCCTGGCTCACCCATAGGCACTACAGGGGGTTTTTGCTACGCAGAGACCACCAAAGCCCCCCCGGAGCCCCCCCCTGGGCATCGCCACCCCTGCGTGCCCCATATGCTCCCAGGCCTCTGCACAAAACCCCCCCAAAACCACCAGAAATGCAGGGGGGTGGCCACGGTCACTGCATCGCCCCGTCTGAGCCCTTGCCAGAGCCCCCCCAGAGCCCTGGGGTGCAAAATCAGGGGGGGCATCAGCACCGTTTGCACCCCGGTGGGGCTTTCCTGGGGTTTAAGTCCTGGGTTCTCCTTGGGGGGGGGAAGCTGCGCTGGGTCAGGCACAAACGAGGGGAGGAATTAATTGCCCCCTGGGCTCCTGGCGCAGTGGCTGCCCCCTTCTCCCAATGGCGGGGGGGGGTCCAGTGTGGGGGTTGCACGTCCAGAGATTTTAAGATCAGCAGAGCTCCTCTTCCCCTCTGCAGCTGGGGGGGGTCTCCGTGTCACTGCTTGTCCCCACGTCCCGGGGGAGCCACAAGTGGAGGGGGCCAGGGTTTGGCACGGCAAGAGCCCCTGCCACAGTCGATGCCGGGGGTGAAATCCGGCACGATCCCCCCGGCACCCCCTGCCCCTCCTCGGCCGAGGAGTCTGGAACGAGGGAAGCTTTGGCCAAAAAGAGGGGTTTTTTTCCCAACCCCCTGGGTCGGTGCTGCCAAGAAAGCCAAACACCCTCCATGGCACCGGTGCCACCCTCGGTGCCCCGTAGCCCTTCGGTCTCTCCGCTTCCTCCTCCTCTTCTTCCCCTCAGCACATTTTGTTTCTATTTTCTTCATTTCTTGGGGCTTTCCTTTTTTTTTTTTTTTTTTTTTTAATATATACTTTTTTTTCCCCCTCCTGTTTGTTTTTTTGTTTCTGTTTAAATATCAAACGAAAGAAGAAAATCCAGCGATGGGGGCTCTGGAGCCGGGGGCCAGGCTGCTGGGCGGGCGGTAGAGGGTACCGGGTTGACTGGGGGGGTTGCCGGGTGTCTGGGGGGTGGGAGTCCTGCTGGCTTTGGGGCGGAAGAGGCTGCCCTGCTGGGTGGAGGTGCTGTTGGAGAGGGGTGCGTGGTCGGGCTCCCCGGAGTCGCTCTCGGTGTAGCTGTAGGCCTGTGCCCGGGAGATGCCCTTCTGCTGCCTCCGCCACGAGTTGTAGTAAGTGGGGTCGCTGATGTAGTGGTTGACGAAGGAGTGGGCTTTCTGGTGGCCAGGGTCCACCTCGTACTCGCTGTCGCTGCCCTAAAGAACAGGACGGGGTGGAGTGAGCATGAGACATCCCCCCACCACCACCACCTCCAAAAATAGGGTGAGCTTTCCCCCCGGTGCTCTTTGGGAGATGCTGGTGAGGGCATCCCAAAGGACTTTTGTGTTGATGACACAGAACCAGGAGGGGTGGCTGACACCCCAGAGGGTTGTGCCACCATCCAGCGAGACCTGGACAGGCTGGAGAGTTGGGCAGAGAGAAACCTGATGAAATTTAACAAGGGCAAGTGTAGGTGCTGCACCTGGGGAGGAATAACCCCCTGCACCAGGACAGGCTGGGGGTGACCTGCTGGAGAGCAGCTCTGAGGAGAAGAACGTGGGAGTCCTGGTGGACAATAGGATGCCCATGAGCCAGCAATGGGCCCTTGTGACCAAGAAGGCCAATGGCATCCTGGGGGGCATCAGGAAGAGCGTGGCCAGCAGGTAGAGGGAGGTCATCCTGCCCCTCTGCTCTGCCCTGGGGAGGTCCCAGCTGGAGCACTGGGACCAGTTCTGGGCTCCCCAGTTCCAGAAGGACAGGGAACTGCTGGAGAAGGGACAGCAGAAGCTACAAAGATGATGAGGTGCCTGGAGCGATCAATGCTCACAAATACTTCAAGGGTGGGTGTCAGGAGGATGGAGCCGGTCTTTTTTCAGTGGTGCCCAGGGACAGGACAAGAGGAAATGGGCACAAACTTGAATATAAGAAGTTCCACCTAAACATGAGGAGGAACTTCTTTCCTGTGAGGGTGGCAGAGCCCTGGAAGAGGCTGCCCAGGGAGGTGGTGGAGTCTCCTTCTCTGGAGACATCCAAATCGCCCTGGACATGTTCCTGTGGGACCTGCTCTGGGCGGACCCACTTTGGTGGGGGTGTTGGGTTGGACTAGATGATCTCCAGAGGTCCCTTCCAACCCCATGTGATTCTGTGATTCTAGGACTTCAGGGGCTGGCAGGGCCGAGGCAACGCTGGGGCGTTCCCACCTCTCGCTAAAGCAAAATAAAACCTCACACAAAAGGCTTGCAGCATCCTGGGGGCCCTCATGGTGGTGGTGGGGGGGGGGGGGGGTCCCCGCGCCCCCGTGGTTTGGCGGGGAAGGGTGTTTTTGGGAGGCGGGTGCCTCCCCGCTGGCGGTAATTGGATTCAGCTTCCCCCGGCCGGGGACAAAGGGGCCATTGAGGCGGTGGGGAAGCTGCTCCGCGCCAGCTCCAGCTCCCGCCGCTCTTCACAGCTCCTCAAAAGCCACTCGAGCCCCCGCACAGGCCAGAGGGAGCGGAGCCGGCATCTGCCAGGCCATGGCAAAAGAAACAGCCGGCACAGGCAGCGAAGGAAGGGGGGGGTGGGATGTCCCCCCTCTCCCTCTCCAGCTCAAGGACCCTCAGGACCTTCCCCTGAGCTCCAGCTTCATCTTTCCAGATGCCACCCGACATCCATCCCCGGAGGCGATGCTCCCCAGGGAGCTGCCCGTGGCCACGATCCTGCCCGGCCACAGCTGCCCCTTTTCTCCCCGAGGAGACAAAAGTGCCATTTTGCGGGGTTGGCAGAGCCGCGGCCGTTGCCACCAGCGACCTGGCAGCAGGACAGTCCCCCCCCAACCCCGCTGCCCTCCTGTCCCCAGCAGCCCCCGGGGACCCCCCGTGGGGTCACATCCCCACAGCACACGGGCCTGGGGCCGTGCCAGCTCCACGCTGGATCCGTGCCGCAAATCCACGGGGGACAGTGCTGCCGAAAAGCGGGATGGGGCTGGGGAAGGGGACTGGTGTTGCTTTTCCCAAATGTGCACCAGGATCTGCATCCTACAGGATGAGGGGTAATGGTTTTAAACTGAAAGAGGGGAGATTGAGATGAGATATTAGGAGGAAATTCTTTGCTGTGAGGGTGGTGAGAGCCTGGCCCAGGTTGCCCAGAGAAGCTGTGGCTGCCCCATCCCTGGAGGGGTTCAAGGGCAGGTTGGAGGGGGCTTGGAACAACCTGGTCTGGTGGGAGGTGTCCCTGCCCAGGGCAGAGCATGGAACTCGATCTTTAAAGTCTCTTCCAACCCAAACCATTCTGTGACTCTATGATCTTGGTGGGCAGAGAGAGGTGCCAATGCCCAGGGAGGGCTCCCAGCACCATCCATCCTGCCCCATGTCCCTGTCCCCCTGTGCATCCCCGGGTGGTCACCTGGGAGTCCGAGACCTCGGAGGGCTTCTCCGTCAGGCTGCTGCTCTCGGCGGGGATCAGGTCGTTGTACTTGGTCACATCCTCATCCGAGTAGTGGAGGCTGCCAGGGCTGGGCCGCGGTGGGGACCTCGGGGAGAGGGGGATGCTCAGTGCGGGTCCCCTCTCAGGGATGAGCCCAGCCAACCCCCAGGGCGGGCTTGGGGACCACCCCTAAGCCGTGCCAACCCCCCCAAAAGGACCCTGCCCACGGTTTTTTAGGGATTCCCAGCTTTATAGGCGGTTCAGCATCAGGGCTGGTGCCCAATGTCCCTCTTGCCATACCAGGGTCCCCTCCCCGGGGTGTCACCCTCCCCAGCCCCATGCCCACCCCACGGCAAGTGCAGGATGGGCACGATGACTGAAAAAACTCCCCCCTTGCCTGGGGAGGGGGCTGCGTGGGGGGGTCCCTACCGGGTGTAGATGCCGTTCTTCCGGCAGAAGGAGTTCTTGACGGAGAGGCGGCGGTTGTTGAGCTCCAGGGCGGGGAAGCTGCCCTCGTCCAGGCTCACCATCTCCCCGTGGCTCAGGGCGGTCGCCTTGGAGCCGTTCCCTGTGGGACAGGATGCTCAGACCCTCCCCGGGGGCACCACAGCATTGTGGGGTTGTGGAGGGGGGGGAAGCTGGACCCTGCACAGGGTCCTCAGGAGGGTTGTGCCAGCTCCAAAGCCTGGGGATGCCACGAGGTGCCAACCCCAGGGCAGTGGCCATCCATCAGCCGTGCTTGCCCGCCTTGGCTCCCACCCTGACCTGCCCCATCGCCTCCGGCTCTCGGCTCAGCCGCTCTCTGTTTGCTTAACGAGGAGATCTGGATTTTCCCCACAATTTGAGCCCTTGATACAGCTAAGAAAACAAGAGCTGTGTTTGACTAATCCCCGTGACCTCTGCCGAGCCCCCGGGGCTGCCCTGACTCCGCCGCTGACAGCGGGACAAGTCGCTTATTTAATCTTTAGCTCCCAGCGCTCTCCGGGAAGCCCACGGCATCTTTATCGGATGCCACCGGGTTCCTGGAGGAGCTGTGCCCCGAGGCAGGGTCCCACTGCCCCGCTCAGACCCCAGGGGCAGGCAGAGAGGCCCCAAAGAGGCTCCTAGGGGGTTAGGGCTCTGCACCCCTCTTTTGGCACCCTGGGGGGGTGGTCCTGTCACCCACCACCTCCCCGGCACTCACCTGAGTCTGATTTCTTGGCGTACTTCTTGCTCTGCCCACGGATGATGAGCACAAAGACGAGCAGGAGGATGAAGATGAGCCCCACCAGGGCGATGACCACCAGGAACCACCACTCCTCGTAGAAGGGGTTGGTTTTCTGGGCTGGGGGACAGCAGGGAGGATCAGGGCAGAATGGGAACAGGGGGGCAAACCAGTATGGATGGGAGACCCTGCTGCAGGGCATGGGGTCACCTCGGGGAACATCTTGAGAACTGGATCCATGCAAGGGAGCAGGTTAAAGGGGGATAACAGAGGGCTTTGCTGGCAGACACTGCTGGCAGGGGGATCTGGGGCTCTGTAGGAGCCAGGCAGGGTTGGGGAGGTGGCTTTCAGTGATGGTGTCCTGGTTTCAGCTGGGACAGAGTTAATTTTCCTCCCAGTAGCTGCTGCGTTTTGGATTTAGGATGAGAATAACGTTGATAACACACACATTGTTTCAGTTGTTGCTAAATAACGCTTATATAAAGCCAGGGGATTTTTCAGCTTCCCCTGCAAGAGGGAGCACAGATGTGACAAACTGGCCAAAGGAATATTCCATACCATAGACGTCACACTCGGTATGTAAACAGGGGCTGGCCAGGGAGCAGGAACCCACTGTATCACTTATTTTATATCTTATTTTACCACCGTAATAATAATTATCATTTTCCTCTTCCGTTACTGTGCTACTAAACTTCCTTTATCTCAACCCACACGTTTTTCCCCTTTTCTCCCTCTTCTTCCCACCCCGCTGGCCGGGGGAGGAGTTGGGGAACGGCCGCCTGCTCCGAGCTGCTGGTGGGGTTAAACCACACCAGATGGCCAGGAGAACACAGCAATACTCCCCCCGGCACGGGGAGGTGACAGCATTCCCCTGGGGATACCCACATGTTGTCCCTGCTGGCTACCTGACACGGAGGGGGACGGTGTGCTGGGGGTGCCATAGCCGTAGTCGTTGACAGCGATGACGCGGAAGTCGTAGCTGACCCCCTGCTTGAGGATGTCCATGCTGAAGGTGTAGGAGGTCACCTCCTTGGGGATGTCTTTGATGAGGATGTCCCAAAGCCCCTCGTCTGGAAGAGAGAAGGTGCCAGAGGATGATCTCCCTCCATGGGGGGGTGCGTTTTGCCCTCTGCCATCTCCCCATCCCCAGCAGGCACTGACCTCACTGGCTGCAGCATCATTAAAACGCCGTAACGATAACAATGCACACGGCTGATCGATCTCCTGCCCCACTCACAGACGAGGCCAAAGCACTTCCCTGGAGACCCGTTCCCACCACAGCCCCACAGCACCCCCCAGGAGCCCCACGGGTTCAGGGGGGTTTCCCTCCCAGGTGCTGCCCCACAGCGTGGGGAGCGGTACCGACCCCCCCATTAGCCATCTCTCAGGTCAGATCTGAGCTGTGGGCTCTGGGGCAACCAGAAATCGTTAACCCGGGGCTGCAGGAGAGAGCGTGGCCATCCCTGCTGGCTCCCTGCCGTGGGGACAAGGAGTCCTGCCTGCCCCAAAGGAGAGCTCTCCCATTTTGGGGTAGCCTTGGTACCCCTTGAACCCCCTCGCCTGGCTGGGGGAGCATCAGGACCTCCATCATGCCCAGGAAAGCAGCAGCATCAATGGGTGCTGCTCCGTGGCTCGCCGGCCCCTCTCCATCATCCCAGCTGCATGGTCCTCATGGACCAGCTCGTGGCCAACACCTCAGAGACATAGGTCCCAATCCCCAACCCAGCCTGTGGGGTGGCCTGCACAAACTCCCTGCCTCAGTTTCCCTTCCTCCTCAACCCAAAGGCACCACTGGTAACAAGGTGGGGATGGAAAGCAGAGAGGAGCTGCCCTACCTGAAGGACGGGCTTCGATGACGTATCTGGTGATGGGCCCTTGGCCGGGGTCCCCACTCGACCAGTGGATGGTGATGGCCGTGCCATAGCGGGAGATGAAGGGCTCGCCGGGGGGACCGGGGGCACCTGGGGACCCAGAGCAGAGTTGGAGCCATGGGGGGGGGTACAAACTGGCATATGGCCACGCCAGGTCTGGTGGCACCAGGGAAAATGTCCCCATGTCATCTCCTCCACCTCCCCATCACGACATCCTGCACGTCCCCCCTGTACCTTCCCCAGGCCCCGTGGTGATGTTTGCCTCAACATCTGGCCCGTAGGCGAAGGTTTTGGCCCGAATCCGGAACCGGTAGGTCACACCCTCAGCCAGGTCCTTCACCTTCATCCACAGTGGGCTGTTCCCCTTCACGTCCACCGTCACGATCTTACTGACGCCTGCGGGGACGGAGGCTGAGCCGGGTGCTCGCCGGAGCCCTCCCGGCTCCCCCCAGTGCCCCCAGCCTCCCCCCGGTGTCCCCGCCGTGCCCTCACCGTCCACGGGCATGCAGGGCTCGTAGACCAGCCTGTAGCCCTCGAGGATGCCGTTGGGCAGCGGTGGTGGCTCCCAGGACACGTTCACCGACGTGGTGGTCAGCTCACTGAATCGGATGGAGCCGGGGGCGCTGGGGGCTGCGAGGAGTGGGGTGGTCAGGGCCAGCTCAGTGCTCCCAGGGGACACCCCCAGCACCGAGCCAGCCCCTTTCTCTGCCTTCATCATAACGGAGCTGGAGCACTTGTCATCACCATCTCACACCACCCTGGTGCCACCACCCTGTGTCCTCCCCTCCCCACTGCAGTAAAGACCCTGCCAGGGCTCCACACACGGTGAGGGGAATGAGCCCCCTCCTCATCTCTCCTCCCAAGAATCATAGAATGGTTCAGGTTGGAAGAGACCTTAAAGATCATTGAGTTCCCACCCCCTGCCCTGGGCAGGGACACCTCCCACCAGCCCAGGTTGCTCCAAGCCCCCTCCAACCTGCCCTTGAACCCCTCCAGGGATGGGGCAGCCACAGCTTCTCTGGGCAACCTGGGCCAGGCTCTCACCACCCTCACACCGAAGACCTTCATCCTTCTCAAGCCTCAGCCAAGACCTTCACCTCCGTGTCCCCCCAACCCACAAACCCTCTGGGGTGAGCCCAGAGCCGGTATCTACTCCTGGATTGCAGGAATCGGGGTGCAGCTGGGATGAAGGACCACCTGCTGGACATCACTGACCCATGGGGACACCTCCTCACGGAGGCCAGGGGCAGGAAGGTCTGGATGGGACCGTGCTGACCCAAGGGCTGGGGGACAGCCGTGCCACGGGCCCCACCTGCCTGCTGCGTCCGCCCCTTGACAGGGGGGCTGCGGGGCCCGTCTCCCGCCGCGTTGAAGGCGGCGACGCTGACCCAGTACGAGGTGTACCCCGTCAGGTTCTTCAGCTTCACCCCATCCTCGGGCAGGAAAAGCGTCTTGACCCTCATGCTCTCGTTCTGGCGCTGGGCTTCCCAGAAGTGGATCTGCAGGAGGAGGAGGAGGAGCCATGGAGACCTGCGTGACGCACGGATCCAGCCAGTCTCGCCTTCTCCAAGCCCTTTGCTGCGCCCAAACAACCCCCAAAGTCCTGCCTGGCCTCTGAAGCCCCTGCCCCAGAGCAGCGGGGGGCTCTGAAGATGCTAGAGGGAACGCAATGGCCTCTCCTCCAGGATGGCTGGGCATCAGACATGAGTTCACCGAGATCACCCTGGAGATGTGCCTAATTCTCAAAGGATGGGGCCGAGCAGGAGGAATCACCAGGGATGTGGCCAAGGAGGTGCCTGGAGCACGGGGCTGGGCATCCCGAGGCATCCTGGCTGCATCCCTGCTCCATCCCAGCAGCTCCTCAGCCGCATCCAAGGACCAACGACGCCACCTGCTGCCCCGCGAGCGCTCGGCACCGGGATGGGGACACCCGACATCTCCCCGGGACACCCAGCATCTCCCTGGGACACCCAACATCTCCCCGGGACACCCAGCATCTCCCCAGCATCCCTTCCCCAACACCATGCGCAGCATCCCCCAGGGCACCCGGCATCTCCCCAGACCCAAGAACCCACAGATCACCCCCCAGGAGAGCTCGTCACTCCCCAGTGACACCCAGCATCTCCCCAGCATCCCTTCCCCAACGCCATGCACAGCATCCCCCCCCAGGGCACCCGGCATCTCCCCAGACCCAAGAACCCACAGATCACCCCCCAGGAGAGCTCGTCACCCCCCAGTGACACCCAGCATCTCCCCAGCGTCCCTGACCCCCGTCTCGGTGCCAGCTCCCGGGTGACGGGTGAGGTACCTTGTAGCCCTGGATGTCCCCGTTCTGGCTCTCGGCGGGTGGCGGTTCCCAGGTGACATCCAGCTGGGTGGCAGTGGCCGCCTGCACCGCCACGTTCTGTGGGGCACCCGTGGGCACTGTGCCAAGGGAGGGGGACAGTGTGACAGCCCTGCTGCGACCAGGATTGGGGGGAAAAGCCCCCTCCTTGATGTGGGGGGGATGCACTGCCGTATCTGGGCACATCAGGGGATGGGGGTCGTGGGATGCAGGAGCACAGGGTACCAGGGCAGTGGAACCCCCTCCCCACAGCTCCCAGTTGTGGGCCCTGCTGGGGGACTCACCCGCTTCACCCACAAAGACCTCCTGGGGGGGGCTGGGGGGGCCCTCGCCCACGGCGTTGTACACGCTCATGCGGATCTCGTAGCGCCGGTGCTTGCTCAGGTCTGGGGGGAGGTGGAAAGGGGAGAAGGGGTGAGCTCCCTGCAGCAGCAGAGGGTCCTGCTACCCCCGGGGGACCCGGCAGAGCCCCCCCTGGCTGGGGAAGAGAGGGGTGTCCCCAAGGAGCAACAAGACGGGCAGAGGGATCATTGGGGACAGGGCATTTGGGGCACCCCAGTTCACCCCACAGCACAGGCAGGCGCAGGGGAGGGACACGGAGCGGGGGTGGCAGTGGGGAGGACAGGCATGGGGGGGGGGGAGGGAGAGGGAGAGGGGGTGGCCACCCCACAGCACAGGAGGCAGGCGCAGGGGAGGGACATGGGGGGGTGGCAGTGGGGAGGACAGGCATGGGGGGGTGGCAGGGAGAGGGACAGGGGGTGGCAGGGAGGGATGGGAGGGGTGATGACTTACTGTCCAGCTCGTACTGGGTGAGGGACACCTCGCTGAGGTTGTGCACGGCGTAGACAGCTGGGTGGCACGGGGCAGGGAGAGCAGGTTAGTCCCACATCTGTGAGCCCCCCCACCTCTGAGCACCCACCCCAGCACCACTGCCCACCCCAGGGAGGGCCGGGGGGTCCCCTGCCATGGCCCTGTCACCCCCAAGGTGCCAACGGGGCTGTCACAGCACCGAGGAGCCTTTCCATCCTCCTGCCCCATCCCCTGAGGGGCACGAGATGGGTCTGGGCATCTCCACGGGGGTGAGCAGTGGATGGGGCAAGGTCTGTGTTTGGGCTCTGCCCTTGTCACTCGTGTCCCCTGCTGTCCCCAGAGCAGGGTGTGAGGGTGGCAGCACCCCTGGACACACACAGCAGGATGCCACAGACACCCATGTTAAGTGCAGACACACTGCAGGGACACGGGGGCTGAGCACAGGGGGCCTGACCCAGCAACGTGGCAGAAAAGCACGTAAGGTACCACAGACCTGGTGGCACAAGGGGGACAGTGACAACTCCACGGGGCACAGTCTGACCCTGACAGCTCCAGGCTGGCACCCGGGAGGAAGCCATGGAGCAGAGGATGCTGCCTTGCCCCGTTTTCTAACTGCCGCCACTGGGCCACCCCCCACCTCCAGCCACGTGTCCCCAAGCCCAGTGGGACCACCAGGACTCACGGGTGAGCTCGGCCCAGGTGGCCCCGGGGTGGCCGATGCCGCGCAGGGTGAAGCCGCGCAGGCTGTCGGACACCAGCTCCCGGTACCGGAGACGGAAACCCAGCAGGATCCCGTTGATCTTGTCCTCGGCCGGGGGCTGCGTAGGTGGGGGGACAGTGAGAAGCCTTGGTGCCACCTCCCAAGTAGGGGGTCCCACAACAACCCCCCCCCAAGGCGGAGGGGACAGTACCTGCCAGCGGATGAGCACCGAGGTGGTGGTGTGGGGGGTGACGGAGAGGATGGTGGGGGCTTCTTCTGGGGCTGTGGGGAGAAGCGGGTGGTGAGGCTCCGGAGGTGCGCTGGGTGGGCACAGGGGGATGCCCGGCCATGAGGGGACCCCCTCTCCTTGCCCCAGGAGCCACTGACCTGCCTGCAGGGTGGTGAGCGACTCCGACTCCTCGCTGTACTCGCTGTCCCCGATGTCATTCGTTGCCTTCACGCGGAACTTGTAGGAGGTGAAGGGCTTCAGCCTGGGGGGGAGCAGAGCAGGATGGGGACAGTGAAGCCAGCAGGGGACCCCAGGAGCCACCCTCCCTCCTTCTCAACCTTGGGGCTTCTCATGGGACAGGGAAACTGAGGCACGGGGCAACCACCCGAAGCGGAGCCCGCAGTTTGCCCACCTCCCCGTCGCCCCACGGCACCGTGGAGGTCCAGCCCGTGTCCCACCTGTCCACGACGAAGGCGGTGGCGTTGCGGCTGACGGAGGAGGAGTGCAGTGCCCACTCGCCGTCGGGCAACTCCCGGCTCTGCACCGTGTAGTATCGGACGGGGGAGAGCCCGTCGCTGCCCGGCTCCCAGGAGAGCAGCACGCTGCGGGCTCGCACCTCCTCCTGCTGGGCTAGTGGCTTCCCGGGGGGCTGCGGGCGGTCTGGGGGAGAGGGCGAGGGGCTGGGAGCACCGTGGGCACGCCGTGGGCACACACAGAGCCTGCCCCCCACCACCGTGGGCTGGGTACCCCCTCCCCAACCTCGCCGTTACCTCTCTTCTCCGTGGTGACCACCAGGGCTTCGGCCGCCTCGCCCCAGCCCTTGCGGGTCTGGGCTGCGATGCGGAAGAGGTAGGTAGCCTCCGGCTGGAGGCCAGTAGCCGTGTACTGGCGGGCACTGGGCTCCAGCACCTCCGTGGTGGCTGCAGTGGCCGCGGTGGTGTTGAGGCAGTGGGTGACCTGGTACGCTGCGGGGAAAGGAGAGTCACGGTGGGGACACCGTGCTGGGGGTGGCGTGGCCCACGCCAGGGTGGGCTAGGAGTCCCCCTGCAATGGCCCTGTCACCCCTCAAGGTGCCAATGGGGCTGTCCCAGCACCAAGGAGCCTTTCCATCCTTCTGCCCCATCCCTTGAGGGGCACAAGATGGGTCTGGGCATCGGGGTCTACATGGGGGTCCGACCGTGGCTGAGAGCGGTGGATGGGGCAAGGTCTGGTCTTGGGCTCTGCCCTTGTCACTCGTGGCCCTGCTGTCCCCAGAGCAGGGTCTGAGGGTGGCAGCACCCGTGGACACACACAGCAGGATGTCACAGACACCCGTGTCAGGGTGCTCACAGGGCACAACCCGGGACCCAGCCCATCCTGATGAGTGGGGAACCCCCAGCCCTGGGGGGCAACGGGCTCTGAGATCCTTGGGGGATCTCAGGGAGCTGGTTTCTACCTCCCCCTTGATGTCGATGCCTGGTCCCATGGGACCTCTGCATCCCTCTGCAGAGCATCCCAGCGTGGCACAACCAGGATGGCTCCCCACCTACCCAGGATGACGCCGTTGGGTGCTGCGGGGGGCTGCCAGACGAGCCGCACCGAGGTCGTCCTCACTTCGGGGAAGAGGATCCCCACGGGGGGGCCAGGCACTGGAGGGGGGAGAGATGGGGTTCACCAGGAGGGTGCACAAGTGTGTCCCATGCACTGGGAATGAGAGTTCTGGGAGTCCCAGTCAGGGGGGGAGAGGGATCACCCCAGGGAACAAGGATGGGATGGGATGGGATGGGATGGGATGGGATGGGATGGGATGGGATGGGATGGGATGGGATGGACCCCCCCAGCCCATTTGGGTCCCCCCCAACCCATCCATCTGCTGTTACCCACCGTCGTCCAGCGTCCGCTCGAGGACGGGGGGCCGGCTGGGGACACCATCACCAATCCTGGTGAAGGCCAGGACACGGATCTCATACAGCGTGTACTTGCCCAGCCCGCTCAGCTGGGCACTGCGGGAGGCATTGCCCTCTGCCAGCCAGAACTGGACACGTGCCTCCGAGTCCTTCTCCTTGTACATCACCTGCAACAGACCCCGTGTGACACGGTCGGACAGGGCCACTACCCCTGGGACCCCCCCTGAGTCCCCCTGGGATGGGGCAGCACGGCCAGGGCTGGCACAGATGGGCACCATCTCTTGGAGGTGGTGCAACCAGGGGACACCTGGCAATCGGTGGGGTGATTCCTCCCAGGAAAAGCTGTGATTCCCAGGTCTGGGGGTGAGGCTGGCAGGGCACAGGTGGGCAGGCAGGGCCATAATGCTGGGGCTAGCGTAGGTGCTCACCTTGTAGCCCAGGATGAGGCCGTTGCAGTCCGCCTCGGGGATGTCACTCCATCGGACCAGCATGCTGCTGGAGGAGGTGGCCTGCGCTGACACGTTGCTGGGGCCAGAAGAAGGCACTGGAGCAGGGGGAGGGATGAGAATGGGGGTCAGGGGCCAGATTCGAACCAGGGTGGGTTCCCAACGCCATGGGGTGGGTGCCTGGCACCATGGGGTGGGTTCTCGGCACCATGGGATGGGTGCTTGGGGCCATGGGATGGGTTCCCAGCACCATGGGGTGGGTGCCTGGGGCCATGGGGTGGGTGCCTGGGGCCATGGGGTGGGTTCCCAACGCCATGGGGTGGGTACCCAGCACCATGGGGTGGGTACCCAGCACCATGGGGTGGGCAGCGGTACCTGACTCCCGGGTGCGTCCCACCACCGAGTGGCTCCAGGGCCCCGAGCCGATGGCGTTGAAGGCTTGGACCTGCACCCGGTACTGGGTCCACTCCTCCAGGTCCTCGATGGTGAACTCCCGCTCCACGCGGTCGTGGACGACGTGCACCGCCGGCTGCCCGCGCCCGTCCCAGCGCGCGTACCGGATCCTGTAGCCCACCGAGTCGGGGTTCCCGTTGTACTCCTGCTCCAGGAGGGGCTGAGACGGGCACCGTCACTCCTGAGCTCCCACACTCAGCCCAGCTCCATCCCCCTTCATCTCCCCACCCTCCCGCCTGCCCCCCTCGGGCACAGGACCCCCCCCCTCCAAGCGTCGTGGTTCCCCCCCCCTCACCATCCAGCGCAGCCACCGGCTGGTCTCACTGGCCGTCCTCAGGGGGAC